TTTTCTGGGTCCCCGGCAAAATTTTTTATCAAATCTTTGTAAAATTTTACGGTTATAACGAACTCTGATATAACGAATTAACGGATGAAGCGAACTGATTTTGAGTCCCGTAGAGGTTTAATATAATGAAAATTACATCTTTTATAACGAACTTTCAAAGTTTATTAAAAAAAATTGATAATTAAATTTAACTGACTTTATTTCTTTCAAAAATTTATATATAAAATTCAATTCATAATAAAACCTTAGTTATCGAAAATATGTTTTGTAATATTTGCTTCCCTAACATATTTGGTAATTATTCTTGAAGGAAAACATCCATATTCCTAATTCGCTATAATGGTTATACGAATTCGTTATACGGATTTAACGAATTACGGATAAAGCGAATTAAATTCACAGGTCCCCAGGACTTCGATATAACCGAGTTTTACTGTATAGTGATTGGGATGTCTGTCCGTCTGTTACGCTTTGGGGCATCCATCTGTTATCCGCAACTCCTCTTATACATAACAAGATGTGTTGGTAAAACACTGATGCCCCCGTATGGCAATATAGCAAAGATTAAGCTTTTATTAAATGCTAATTTAATTAATTGGTACCAAAAGTAAGGTAATCTCACTGGAAAACAATTGTGAAATTTGAAAGTAAGCCAATGTTAAAGTTTTTTATCAATAAGTACAAAAATCTCCAAGGTGACTGCCAAAAGGTCATGGTCAAAGGGTCAAAGTAAGGTCACAGGGTCAAAGTTATTGTTATCAAATGAAAGTTCTTGTCATAAGGATCAAATATGTAAAGTATGAAAGCACTAGCCCTAACTCTTTAAAAGTTATGGTTAAGGTTTGCTTTTTCAAAGTAGGTCAATCTCAAAGGTCGAGGTCAAAGGGTCAAAGATCTTTGTATTCTATGAAGGTTCTTCTCACAAGGATTACATATATGAAGTATAAAAGCCCTATCCCTTACCGTTCAAAAGTTATGGCCAAGGTTAGAGTTTTTTCACAAGTACGAAAATCTACGAGTTCAAGGTCAAAGGGTCAAGGTTGTTGGTATCCAGTGAAAGGTCTTTTAACAAACATTACATTTGTGAAGTATAAATGTCATGGTATCTACTGTTCAAAAGATAGGGCCAAAGTAAATTTTAAAATTTTCATGTAAAAGTGGGTCAAACTCCGAGGTCAAGGTCAAAATGTCAAATTTGGTGGTACCCAAAGAAAGGTCTTGTCACAAGGAATACATATATGAAATATGAGAGTCGTAGCTCCACTATGGGCAAGGTTAAAGTTTTTGCGGACAAACAGACAAACAGATAGACAGCTAGACAGACAGACACGACAAAAACTATATACCCCCGAAACTTCGTTTACGGGGGCATAAAAAGATGTATTTGTAAACAGCTATGCCCCTGTATGGCAACATAGCGAAGATTAAACTTTTCTTAAAAGCAATTTAAATATAATGGTACCCAAATTAGGGTCTTCTCACAAGAAATACAATTGCAAAATAGGAAAGCCCTAGCACCACTTGTTAAAAAATAATGGCTAAGGACAGGTGTTTGAAAAGAAGGTCAAACTCAAAGGTCAAAGGGTCAAAGGGTCAAAGTTGATGGTTTCTTAAGAAAGGTTTAATGTAACAAGGATTACATTTATTAAATTTTATGAAGTATGAGAGTACTATTATATTCCGTTTAAAAGTTATAGCCAAAGTAAATTAATTAAAAATTTGGCATTTTTGTGTAAAATGGGACAAACTCCAAGGTAAAGGTCAAAAGGTCAACTTTGGTGGTACCCAAAGTAAGGCCTTGTCACAAGAAATACACATAATAAATATGAAAGTCATAGCTCCAATAAATGAAAAGTTATGGTCAAGGGTAAAGACCGCCAGATAGACAGACAGACATACAGACGGACACGATAAAACTATATACGCCCGAATCTTCGATTACGGGGACATAAAAAGAAATGGTCTTCAATTAATTTTCATATTATGATACAATATAAAGGAGACGTTACAAAAATGAAAATGTTTGTTCTGAATTTCATATTAAATTCTCTGAAAGATATACTGACTCAGAACTGAGAAAAAGGGTGGAGTAAAACAAGAATTAAGAGATGTAATGAATACTGTGTGCTAAATCAAAAGGTTATGTTTACATTTATAGCTTTTGCATTAGAATGTGTATTTTACACTAGCCCATAGCTTTACAGAGCATATTTTTAGGTGTTATACCCAACCCATCCCCTTATCAACAAACGCAACCAAAAAAACTACTCTACCTTTATTTTTCTATAAGGAGGGACTAAAAATAAGCTTAAATAATTTACTATTCTACTAATTCTCAACTGTTACTTTGCCACAATTCTTTCAAGTATACCCCCACCAGCATTTAAAGTATGCTTTAATTCATGGCGAAGTAAATTATGATATGATAGTACTTGTATAAAGGCTTAACTTCATTTCAATATTTAATCTAGAGCCTCTTTCAGTATTATTGAAAGGTATAGTTTTATTTATATTTTTGCTTTTCATTTATATAAAAAAATATATTCATAAATTTCATCTCCAGGGTGCGTTTGATCCATTTACATGTACATGTACCATCTTTGATTTTCTAGGTTTGCTCCTTTATCAGAGAAATGATTAATTGATTGATTGTTAATTTCTTAAAACTGATTTGTCAATATTTCGGTAAAGAGAAATGAGGAACTTTATTACCCCTTCGTGCTCAGAAGAACAAAGATCAAATCTATTTGAACAGATGCATGAATTACTCGCAGGAAGAAAAATTAAAATATACAGCATATTTTTCCCTTTCACCTATTATAAATTTTATATCACTTCAAAGGGGGTCATTTTTCAATGGGGGTCAATTCTTTTATAGGAGTGACATATAAAATAATGACCCCTATGACTCTTTTTCTACAAAAAAAATGATTTTTTTCTACGGGTGGGGGGTCATTTTTTATCGTTGAAAAATGACCCCTGGTCATTATTCGATGGGGGTCATTATTCGTCTTTACACCCCCAGTTGTTTTGATACACAAAGCATCCTCTATGTAATTATGATTTTTTTTTAATTAAAGGCAAGTTGTTGAAAATAACCTATATCAAGAATTCATTTATAGTCAAAAATTAAAAATGCTATAATTTAGTAACCTTGATTATATCATCAAAGACAAAATATCACTGTTTTGATTGAATGACATTTTTGAATAAAAGGTTACGTTAATTAATTAATTTCACGCCGCAATGAGTTTTACCATATGACCGATCATGATAAGAAATACGAGGCCATTATGACCAAAACAGAACGTCTGCTTACTCCTTCGTGGCACTTTTCCGCCTGTAATATTCTTGAGTTCAATTTCTTATCTGCTAAAAAATAGTTAAATGTGTAATGGACTTTTGAGTTTCATTGTTGTTTGTTATCTCTCTATCTCATTAGCTAATTAAGTAATTTAGTGATGAATGCTGAACACATATCTTAAGTATGAAAAAAAATTAAGATTTTTGTTTTACACAGAGTAAATAAAATGGTTGCATCACCCCGGGCCTTTATCTGTTCAGATCTTCTTTGACAACTGAAATACCTTTTCGGAAAATAGTTTACATGTTTACATATATGAGCATTTAATAGCTTTTTTTCTCTCCTGTAAAGCAAAGAATAACCCTAACAGTTTTAAAATTAGATGATCATTCAAAATAAAAAAAAAAAAAAGAAAAAAAAAGAGAGAGAGATGTAAAAGCAGCTCACTCAAGAAGAAACTTACCTCTGCAAAGTTAAAATCAACGTCTTCATTAAAAACATTCATTTTTCATTTCGCTTAGCATTCGAAGCTTTCTTCGATCCGTAAATCAATGAGAGCGACGTCGTCAAAAATTTTGTATTTTAGTTTAGCAAAATTGATATATGATGAATCAAACTGACAATGACATTCCAGAGTATTATTTTGATACTTTCATTATATTATCTTACCAGCTAACTGAAAAACATTAGAAAGCTGCATGTATTTTCCATGGGTCTTCATTAATTAATGCAAGTATTTCTCCATTTGACCAGAACTGATTCTAAAATATATTCTATTCTCAAATTTAAGGTGAAACTAAGTAAATTTGAGCTAAAAATTATCTTCTCCCTTTTAAGCACATCGTTTTTAGTTATTGAAGTACTTCTGAACCAAACTTCTAAGTGTTCAACTAATATTTTTTAAGTTTAAAGAATAAATGCATACAATAAATAATTTCATTGATTCATGCAAAATATGATGCATATCTCAGTTCGATTTTGTGTAAATTTCCTCTAAGTATCTTGTCAGAATTTTAAACAAAGTGTCAAGGAAATGATGTACCATCGAAATGAAATTTCACACAAAATAATAACTAAGGAGTAAGACCGCCACTCGCTCTAATTACTGTAAGAATCCTTTACATGTACCCCTAAATAGGACCCATCTGCCGCCACACCTACTGCATAGATCTTTCCAAACCGTTGAAATTGTGTGGAGGAGGGAAGGGGGTGGAATTCCTTATAAAATTCCCAAATGTGTTCAATGGGATTCACATCCGGGGATTTGACAGTGCATCATAACACGGTGGCATTTTGGTCAATATCCATGGGCGTTTAGCACATAAGTGCGCCACTTTAAGGATGATTCAGACTGCTTGAGCTGATATTAGACTGTCACCCTTTTCTTATCATTTTCGTACGATTAAAATTGTTAGTTTTCATGTTTCTAAGATTGTTTCAGGACAATTTAACACTCTTTTAACCTGGTGTGACATGAAAAATGTGTTTAAATGGGTTTTGATACTGGTTGTTAATTTTTAAGATTAATACCAATGAGAATTAAAAGCTAAAATAAAAGTGAGTAAGACATGGTGCAAGGATGATCCAAATATCAACATTCCAACGGCTCTCTCTTCTTTGTCAATGATAATTTTGCCAATGTTTTGTGTCTTTTAGTAAAACCAGTTTTATCAATTTGATATTGGTCACAAAAAGATGCTAATTACACAAAACACTTACCACAAAGTACATATTTATTGTTTTTAAGCTTCGTCACGGAACGTTGGTTTTCATCGGTGATATTTGATTTTCTTTCAACATTTATTGAGAAGAGTCATTTGTTGTAATAATTAGAAATTAACAAAATTATTTCATAATTTATCCTTTAACTTATAGACAATAACTTTCAATAAGCAGATATATAAGAGTAATTCACATAGTGCTAAATGATCTCTCTTTATGCTAGAATATTTGGAAATTACCTTTCAGAGTTAGAGTCATTAACGTTGTTTTGTAAGAAACATTTTCTGTGCTTTGAACCACGGTAGCGCGGCATACAGAAAACAGATCTGAAAAAAAAATTAACGGAACAAATACTTTAAGCTGGATGAAGCAAAAGGAAGCTATATTCTTTGTACGACGACCACAGAAATCACCCTTTTCACGACTATGATTAAGGTAAGACCCAGCCAATTCTACTTAACAACTTTCCCTGTTACATATACATGTACACAATACAATCTATCACTGGAGCTAATGATTAGTGAAATTAAAATCTAAAATATTTTTATTCCTCACTATGTAAAACATAATACACTACCAGATGTTGCTCTGTGTGTTGAAAGTGACTGAGTCATTGAAAATTCTTCCTGAAAAGTTTCTGAAAAGAAGAGACAACACTGATTTTTTTTAAAATCATGGAAGTATTTTTAAAATCATGAATCTTAGAACAGCAACTTATCACAAATTTCAGGACTTGTTGATACATATGAAAACAGATTCTGAACTTAAAACAAGAGGCCCAAGTGCCACATCGCTCACCTGAGGGGCTTTGACCATGCTATTCTTTACTAGATTTCCCCCTTGTAATACCTATTGTGACCCCATCGTACCCCATTCATTTTTTTTTCATTATTTAATAATTTCCTTTTTCTAGGATTTAATAATTTCAACTTTTCTGATTTAATGATATTTCTTTAGAAGATTTTTAAAGATTTTTCCTATATATTTTCTATTAAAATTTTCATTATTTTGCCTCACTTCATACCCCCGGGGGTTCGATTTATTTCAAATTTTAGTTCTACACTACCCAATAATTTCCACATTTTTAGCTTTACTGGCCAAGTAGTTCTTGAGAAGAAGATTTTTCCTAATATTTCTAAGTAAAACTTTGATTCCCTATTGTGGCCCCACCCAACCCCCGGGGTGATGATTTGAACAATTTAGAATCTACACTACCCAGGATACTTCGACGAAATTTTTAGCTTTTCTGGCCAAGTAGTTCTTGAGCAGAAGAACTTTTAATGACCCCTTCCCATATTTTTGCCTTTTCTTGATTATCTCCCCTTGTGAGAAGACCTGGCCATTCATTTTTACAATTTAAATTCCGCATCACCCAAAGATGCTTTGTATCAAGCTTGGTTAATAATTTTCGTTTGGTTCTTAGAAGAAGTTCAAAATAGAAATTTTCTTTATTTCATAATTTTGTTTTCCTTTATTTCATAATTTCGTTTTTCATTGTGATAAAAATGTCACGTGAGTCGTCGGCTCAGGGGAGCTAAAAATACTGTCAGATAATATTTTTTTAATGCATCGCATTAAAATAAATACCCTAATAAAAGTTAGATAATTTTCAGTATTCAAGGTTTTCTTAATCTTTCAGCTTTCATAACAAAGAAAAGAAAAAAATGTAGTAATCAATGAATATCAGTATCCTTACGAATAAGGTGAATTATGATTATTGATCGGTGTACCTGTACATCCCAGAATGTGATGACAAGACAGTTCCTCGCAGTTTTCACATACATGTACATTTCTTCTCCACTATTCATAAATGACAAGACCAAAAAATCCAATGTCACATTCTTTGAATTTAAATTTTAAATTATTGAATTGAAATAAAAAAAAACAACATATTTATCATTTAAGCAAATTCAACATGTCAGCTATTATTGTGATAAGTCATATACATTTTTCATTTCGTAACTGGGACCGTTACATATGGCATTTTCCTCTTCTTTTTTCTTGCCATATTCCCTATATGTTCATTAAATAAGACAAACCCTGTGCATTTTTCATTAACAAGCGTTTTTAAATTTGTTGGTAATTATATTCAAATTTTAGCATTTGCATCCGGCGCATGTGAATGCATGTGCGTGTATGATCATATCATCTTGTCTAAACTATCTACATATATTAATATACAATATATTAAAGCATATATTCAAAAGTATGAAAAATCACTCTTTCAAACGTTTTTTCATTATAAACCTTAGGATGCAATGCACAGTGCGTGCACGTGCATGATGAAAATACCTTCTTGTAATACATTTCATAACATGCATATAAATTTCAAGATATATAGATTGAAAAACAAGGGAGTTATAAACGTAATTTAAGCCAATCAGATTGCAGCACACGTGCATGCGCGTGATTTCATGATTTTTTTTATATTATACTTGTAAAAAACTTTGCAAGATTGTTTTAAATTTCAAAGCATTTAATCCAAAAACATCCGAAACATTTCTTTTAGTGTATAATTAAAGTTTCAGCAGCTTGTGAATGAAAATTTTTATATTGGAAAAAAAAATCAAAAGTGCATACTGTGCATATGTTCAAAATTTCAAAGGATTATGACAAGAAACAAGATGATATTGAGACTTTAGTCAGCCAATATAAAGATTTGCAAAAAAAGTAAAATACGACATTTATAACGTTTTTGTTTCCTTCAATATATACTCATGTTATGAATTTCAAAGCATTTTATATTACAATAATTTAAATAGTACATATGTATCAATTATATTGGACATTTCTATGTTGCACGTGAAGAGCTCTTGCAACACATGTGCATGCAAATTTTCATGATAAACACACATTACAGGCTGACAAAATCTCCCTAATGTATGATATGTTAAAATTTCAAATGATTTTATCAAAAAACAAAAAAGGTATTGAGCATCACAATTTGATACAAAATAAACTTTCAAGTCTTAAAGATTTCATTAGCAGAATTAGCATATTGATCTGAAATGAGTAGTATTAATACTGTCCTACTTTGTATAGGGTGACTAAAACGTACCTTGCCAGTATACAAAAGCTTACATTATATCCATACTTAATATAGAAAAGTTGGTATATCCATTTATATCTTTAATTTTTAAAAACGTTTATTATTTTAAGACATTAAACAAGTGCGCGCAAAATACCTTGATTCATAAACATTAATAACAAGCCTTTCCCTAAAAAGGTTTCACCTAAGTCAGATGTGTACAGTTTACAAGATCACTCGCGGAAAAGATTTTCCCAGGAAGAAAAATAATAATAATAATAATAAGAATAATAATAATAAGAAACAGAGTAAAAACAATATGTTCCCTAACTTCGTTTGGGGAACATAATTAAACTTTATATTTGACGGATTCTATTCATGTTACTTTCAAACATTCAATTATTGAAAAAATGATATCAATTTGAAGTCCACAAAGTTCTGCAAAAAGGAACGGTTTTAAAACTTCCCCATTTCTTTATTGTAAAGATCGTAAATACATAAGGTAAATATTATCAAAATTAATACATGTCAACATTTATTTGAAAAAAAAAAAAGTAATTTTAACATTCTTTTTAAATAAAAAATGAAAATATTAGATCAAGACAAAAAGTAAGAGAAAGACCTTATACTCTGTTGTTCACTAGATACAATTGATGTAACTATTAATTCAAAGATTAAACAGAAACAAACAGTCAATTTAGTCTCCATGCTAAATTATCATTCAAGGCATGCAGGTTTATATATCTAACTTCAACAATTATTAGATAAATAACACTTAATCAATACACCAATCAATTAATTGATTCGACTTGGAGTACCTTATTGAAACTGAGTACATATTCAAGCATTTCCAAATGAAATGTTCTTAATTTCTGTTTCCTGGTGACAGCTGAACCCTTTCTTTTGAGCATATCCTCGAATTCTTTCCGAGTTCAAAATACATGTACAAACCGTTCATGTATTTGGCACAGAATCTTATCAAACGAAGTGTAGCTTGAAGGAATTATAAAAGTAGTCTCCAAATTACTAGACGATAAAACTGAATGAAACTCTGACTTCAAATTGCATTTCTATCATTAAACAAAAGAAAAGTTATGCAGTTATGTATTTAAAAAATAATGATTGGCTTTTCTTCAAATCATTTGATCTTTTCACATTCACTGTTTAGAGAATTGGGGAAAGAAAATAGGTACGATAACATTGCATTCTATCTTTAGCACTGGTTCTCTGCCCTTGATTCCAGTCGCTGCCGCTAGGAATTACAAGGTCGTTGGTTTTTTAGGGCGCTTGCGCCCGTTAACCAATGTCAGGGTACCAGTCTATTCTATCCTGCGACCTAAAGAGAAGGATTTAACATTCCTACCTAAAATGATAACAAAAACGTTTCTTCTGACAGTCTTTCCAAAAGAGTTTCAAGGCCCATGTTTTACTCTGGGAGACGCCAAATATTTGTCCGATTAAATAGTAAAAGAAGATGTGCACAATTGCACTATGTAACAGATTCTGTGGAGATTTCATTAAAATGTCATTCTGTGGTATAAGAGGAGTTGAGGATAAGGGACTGATACCTTAAAACAGACGGACGGACCAAAGTAGAGACAGAGGGACATCCCAATCATTTTATACCTATTTTTCAAGTGGTGATATAATAATGGCATGTCAAATTGGATGAAAACTGCTTTCAAAATGAACATAATAATATATTGTATTCATTATTTTTGTTGACAATGTCGTGTTCAAAATTTAATTTGAAAATGTTCACTTTCACTGATAACGTATTTGCCATTCGCTTGTCACGGTTTTTAGAGCACGATCGATATCGGTTTTTTTTTTACCAACAAAGGGAAACTCCATAGTTATGCGGATGATAATAGTATTTTGCTGCAGAAATAATGTAGGCCGGCTATAGAAAATGCAGGTCATAACGTTTATCATATAGATTTTATAAGGTTTGGAGTACTTTTATGTACAGCCAGAATACTTTAACCATATACTTTTGCAAATTACTAATAACCAGCAAAGTAACTCCAACGTAAAAGCAGCTGTTTATAATATCACGATTAGGGCTGGGTTTAAATATATCGTGGGAAATGACTGTATAATGTGTTCAAAATTCCTTTTTATTATGCGCTCGGATCGATAGATCCGAGGTGTATATTGTTTTTGTCCTGTCTATTTGTCTGTTTATCTGTTTGTCTCTTTATCTGTTTGTCTGTTTGTCTGTTTGTCTGTCTGTCTGTCTGTTGTCAACTTTAACCTTTGCCATAACTTTTGAACCATGAGGATGTAGACTTCATATTTGGTATGAATACTCCACCAATAAAGCTCTTGCAAATGACACCAAGGTCAATGACCTTGTCACCTTGACTGTGACCTATATGCTAAAAAAAGCTTTTTCGAACATTCGCCATAACTTATGAACCTTGAGAGATATAAACTTCATATTTGGTATGCCTACTCAACTAATGAAGTTCTTTCAAATGACTCCACGGTCAATGACCTTGTGACCTTGACTTTGACCTATCTACTAAAAATAGTTTTTTTGAACTTTGTTGCCGCCGGGCGCATAGTGTTTCACAAACACATATTGTTTTTCTAAAGGTTTCTGACAGGTTTTATGTATCCATATATTATTTACACTTCTAGAATAATTTGTTTTACACTACTCAGGAAGTTTTTTCTTAACGTCCATTAATATGTTTGTATGGAGCACAGAAAGCTATATTAACAAATATACAGCTGTACATATGTTTAATCGAATAAAAAGTAAACATTGGTTATCTAGAATGGAACGGAAAAGAACTGGTATGTGAAGGCATGTGGAGGTATAATTTCATTAATTTATATTCCTTCATTACAAAAAAACATGTAAGACTGGTGCGTTTCACCAAAATCCATGATGCCAAAAACATTAGAATGTCCTCAAACATTTCCGTTTCTCTCCAAAAAAAATTATTTTGACACGATATCTTATTGTTAAGATCCGGTAAGAAGATTGTGCTTTATAGTCATATAAACAAGGTCAAGTAATAAAGATGCACATTTAATTCCTATTGTGCTTCCAAAAGCTTATTCACATTGGTACACCTGGTCTCCAAAATCTACATAATTATACGTTTCGATGAGAATTTCAGTTTTTTTTGGACTTTTTCAATGTAAGAAAACTTGACATTTTTTATAGAGTGAAAATAATTTTAAACAACGGGAAACAACTATAATTCCCCAATGCATTTACATCTTAATGCTTTTTCAACATTGACAAGAGTTATAATTAATGCCGCCAAACTATTTCAGGAAAGTAAATTGTATATCTATGTGTTTTGCTCAGCAAGTGACTTATTTGAGCACATTTAAATGCTTCCTCAAACTATGATGCAGACATCTGAGCATAGTAATCCCTACAGTACTACAGATTACTTTTATGGGAAACGTACCTATTTAAATGCACACATATGACTTTCTGTTAGGAATACAGAATACAATATGTATCAGTAATTTAAAACTGTCTATGTGTTGTGGTACATGTATACATTGCAGGAAACAGGAATAAATTATTTGATCCTGGTTATAAATTGAAGTAATATGTTCCAGTTGGCAAAATTGAGAACATCAGAATCAATGAAAGAAAACACTATTTTGGTTTAATCATTATTATTTTCGCTACAAGAAATGCAAAGCAGGTCTTGTATATGTTTTATGAACATTTTATTTCTACATTTTGTGTTTTCGAGTTCTCAGTTATGTGATGGGTAATGTATTTATTAATTATTTTCAATTTTATTGTTTAACAAAACCGTGTCATTTCTGTCAGCCTTTTAGTATAATTATCAAAATATTGAGTATAAAACAATGATAATTTAATGATGTCATTTGGTTAAAAAATATCACAATTATAAATTAATAAAAAGTGATTTTTGTGTTAGAATATCATTTAGTTCCAATTTTAGTAGGGATCTAAATGAATATAAGAGAAATTTGTCTGTATGTCCAATTTTATAAACATGCCTATTAAGAATTAAACATATTCACTATCATATAATGTTAATTTGCCTTAATATAATCAATTTAGGGAAAAAGGAAGCAAAAAATATTTACAGGTTAAATAACAAAAATAGTTTATATTTCATGTTGTGAGTAAAAGTTTAACATGAATTTTAAGAATGTATAGATAATATTTCAAGGAATAGATGCTGTAGTGGATATATCTGGAACCCTTCACTGAATGTATGCACACGTAAGTATATCTGACAGAAAATGTGCCAAATCAAAATGTAATGAAATATATGGAGATAACGAACAGTATTTAAGCTTAAAAGTTCATTAAACATTACAAAATAGGAGAGAGGAAACATGGATCCCTGAAAAATCAGGGGTGGGATCAGATGCCATGGAGGAGTGTACATCCCCTACTGACAGGTCACATCTGAATCGGGCTGCATTTCATGATCGGGAAGAAATGGAAAAGTCTGTTTTCAGTACACAGTGATATTGATGGTCTTTTAATAAGACTTAATAATATACAAATATGTACTCTTTTGGAGTTGAATATGGTTTGTATCAGAAAAATATCGATATTGTCAAAACATAAAAGTCAATAACTGTTTTATTATTATTTAGTCAGGATTTAAATAAAATAACATTGAAGGATGCATGACGACACCATTTTCATTTGAGATCTTCTATTGTCGAAAATAAAGACAAATCCAGTTCACAGTTCGTAACCTCCGTGTTTTCCTCTCCAAGTCTCGCTATGTGTAAGACGTCCAAATGTTTAAAAATAATCCTACGATAAGATTTCCTGCTCAGATACTATAGCTGTCTGAAATCCTTGCAATCATTGTTTATAACGTTGTTTGAGGTATTGATTGTGAGTCATACTGGCGATGCAGGCGCATTGACCCTCCGGTAAATACGGCCTTAAATACGGTGAATCAATAATTATAAAAAAAATTGCTGACAAGGGCATTGTATCGACCATAAAACTTACAAATAAATGACAGCTATTATAAAATTGATACAGCATAAAAGTAAAATATATTGTTACTTACCTATTCTCTATATCTAATTATAAAGTGTAAACCTGGATATATCAGATAAGTATCATATCAATACTGTAGAATGTAAGAATGGTTATTACGGTACCAATTGCAATGTTTCCCGTCCTCCACCAACGTTTGGCTGGTACTGTCGTTCAACATGCAAATGTTGAGACGAGGAATGCCATCATGTGTATTGATGTAAATTTTTATCCGGTAAAATTATCATTTCATCATATCTTTTTTTAATTTCGTGGTTTCAATGGAAAAAAATATCTTAGCGATATGAGAAAAAGTTGTAACAGTTTTAAAAAGTCTTAATAAGGTTTTGGGATTAAACAATTGGGATACTGTTTTGATGAATTGTTGCATTCATTCTAAAAGAAAGAGGGAGTACATCCAAATCTGTTCAGATTTTTAAGAACTACGCAAGCTAACTCTTGAATCCCATGATTAGTATGAATTTTTGAAATAACAGTCCATACTACCTATAAAAAGGAATTTTATTTCATAGGGGGATGTTTTAAAAATATTTTCATTTTCTGTTGATTTCTATACTGAAAAACACAAGCTATACCAAAAGTATAGAGTTATGTCTCATTCTTTTCCCCAAAAAACTAACTAAAATCCATGTAAATATAAATATGAATATAAAAAAATCATTCGAATATGTTAAGTTTATAAAATTGACTTAGAGTTAGGCGGGAGAACAGTACTATCGTTCGGATTTCTTTGAGTTTCCCTGAATTCTTTTCAATAAGAGATATAGCTATGAGTTATTACAATAGTGAGCAAACAGTCAGTGACTTTCAATTTGGTAATGTAAATAATTCAACATACAGCAGACTGGCATGAAGGCTATGGAGATAGCGAACAGTATTCAATATCAAAGTTCATAAAACAATGCAAAATAGGAGCAGAGCAAATAGGACCTCCAAAACATCAGAGGTGGGATCAGGTGCCATGGAGGAGTGAACATCCCCTCCCGACCAGTCTGACCCGCCTTGTGCTCCTTGTCATTAGTGGATAATAACGGAAAAATCCGTCGACAATTCGTGTATAATTAATGGACTAACATTACCATTAACGTCTTTTTTTGAAGTAAAATATCCAAGTATTAAACAGAAGTGTCAGAGTCTGTGACATCTTTTATCTCAAATTCACCAGGATGCATCGAATTGACATGGGAATGGAAATTACCATTGTTAATTGACAATATGTCGTCAATATATCTAAATGTCCAGTTGAAGGCAACAACAACTGTTTTCTTCTTGTTACGCATTAGATTTTGCACAAATTCTGCTTCATATGAATACAAAAATAGGTCTTATAATAACAGAGCGCAATTGGTAACCCATTGGAATTCCAATAGATTGTTGGAATCTGATTGTCCAAAATCTCCTAGATTGTTGGAATCTGATTGTCCAAAATCTCCTTTTTCCTGTAAGATTCCTAATTCTAAGACCAAAACAACGTTTTGTGAATCATGAATGTTAATCAAATTTTCAAGTGAAATTCAGAGATAACGAATAGTGTTCAAGTTAAAAAAGTACATGTACATTCAAACAATCAAAATTAGGAGGAGAGCAAACAGGAACTTCAAAACATTAAAAGTGTGATCATGTGCCATCAAGGAGAAAGCATGCCTATCTGACTGGTCGCATCCACTGTGTGCTCCTTGTATTTTATTTCGGCGATAAAATAGCCATATGTAGTGATACAGCCTAATACAGGTTGATTATAGGGCACATTATGTTAGACATGTCAGACATGTTTCGAACCAATTTTATCTCATTTATCAAATATTTGTGTAAATATATTCTCTTTTTTGTGTGAAAATATAACATAGATACAGTATGTATATATATGTAACGGATGTGATATTATTATACATACATGTATAGAGATAACGTATTGACAATTCAAATGACTTGTATTACAAGTTACTTTTTTTATTTAAGCAACGCAAATGGATATTTCTGAAAGCAGCCGAAACTCAACGATTGAACTCAACCCAATCAGTGAAATGTCACGGCAAATACCTTCTAAAGGTAATCCCTGGGTTCTTTTTCATATTTCTGTATCTTAAATTCAAAAGTTATCCCTACACACATCAATTCCTAACTCAAATAAAAAGTCACCAAATTAACAAACAGACGTTCATTATTCGTTCATTATAAATATTGAAGAAGTATATGTAACAAAATGGAAATTGATGAGTACATTCCTAGCGAATTTTTCACTTCCTTCCAGGAAACGTTATAAAATAGCTGATGAAGTGGTTTCCCATATGTGTAGCACATGACATACTTGTACTCAAAACGTGACCAAAGTAGAGTTGTCACAAATAAAATATTTTTAAAAAAATGAAATATGACATAAAAAAATTGCAAATTTGTTTAATATTGTCATTTTTTTATTGAATGCTCTGATTACGAGGTGTCCATCTTGTGCATTTGTTACATGCGTAGTAGAGGAACGATTATCCAGGTGCGTATTTTTATTTATAGATCATAATAATTTTTCGTCTGACATTGCAACATACAGAATTTTTTTTAAAAAATCTGTCTCTCTCTCTCTCTCACATACATGCCCAGAAAACATAAATTCTTTTGTTTCTTAGAAGTTTTGAATCCGCCAACAATGATGAAGTGTGTAAAGAGTGGGATAAGACACAGAACAAATGTATTGGTAAGGCTAGAACATTTGTTATTATTTTGTTTCATTGAATTAGAATACATGATGCTTCTTCACAATTCTATTCTGACTAATTAAGATTTGTCTTAAAGGGTTACTTTTTGATATTATAAGAGCCATACTTATACACAAATAAAAAGAAATAATTTCAAGCGTTGCTTAACTATTGGTTATTAATTCAAGTCTCCATATGCATTTTTTTATTCAACCATAGTCAAGTTATTTGGCATTACAGAGTGGACATCATTCATTGTTAAGACAGCGTAGAGTAGATAGTCAATGAGGAAATTTTTATTATAACTCATTAAGAGCAAATTTCTATAGCAATTTAATTTCGTTTTCTTCTATTTATTATTTTCTACCGGAAAAAAATGTCAATTCGGGTAAAATGCAAAGAAACAAAAATTATTTAAAAATCTTTTCGCATGTGGAATGCACACAGAATTTACATACTGTTAATAAAATTCAAACGTTAGAAATTCTTATTTATCAGAATGTAATGATGGATTCCATGATAAGAATTCAAACTGTCGGCGACTTTGTCGTTTTCCTAACTACGGTAAAGATTGTCAGATGAATTGCAACTGTGCAGAAGAGTACTGCAACTTTATAAGAGGATGTGAAGGTATGTATATTATAACAATGCGAATTATTTGACAAAATTCCGTTTTAGACAAACAGTTTAAGGTAGGACACAATAAATAGGCCCATATTTTCCAAAAATTCATTTTTACTGAAACCGATATTTACTGCCAAGATACAAAATCTCTCTTTATATACAATATTAAAAAAATTCAAACACACACATTTATTGCCAACATAGTTTAAAATATGGCCTATTAGATCCCATTAAGAAGAATGTGAAATAAGGTATTTGACTTAAAAATGAGTCTTATTATAAAATTGTTAATTGATCTATTGCAAGTTTGTGTAATACTTTGATAATGAAAATTGTTTTGTTTTGTTAACTCAGTAAGTTATACTGATACTGGAAAATTTGAGTAAAATAATACGTAAAATAGAACATAGCGTCAGAAGTTGTCTTACGAGAAACTGATCAATTTTTACAAAAAGTCAGCAGAATGATTCGAATTGTCCCAGAATAAAATGTGTAAAAATAAAGAAAATTGAACCAGTAGTTTGAACTCTTAATAAAATGTACACCATTGACCTTTATAATACATAAATAATTATCAGCCCTGTACTATTGAAAGAACAAAAGTCACATTGCATTTAAGAACATACTGTTATATTCTTGTTTATTGCATTAGATAGCGTAAACACATTCCAAAATCTAAACTCCCAAGTAGCCAATATATAGGATTCTCTGATTTCTTTTCACAAAATATGACCTCAAAACATCCTATTATTAATTTTCTTAGAGAGGTCATTGTTGTTAATATAGTAATACTTTTCTTTTTCTTCTCGAGTACTTTTTAAAGAAATGATCTAAAATAGAATCCACGGGTGTTTTGTACTACCTTAACGAATAGGATTTAGCTAAATAGATTTGAAGTTTACATCATAAATATCTTGACTCGAAATATGTATCGCAAAGATAGGCTACTTTTATTGAAAACAGTTTGTACGTACTCATGAAATAACCTCATTACAATTTTTTCTTGGCTTGTCCTTTGAATTCTTGATTTTTTTTCAGATGGGGCTCCAACGATTTCTCCCGAGGTTCCAAATATTTCAACAACAGCCTTTCCTGTCTACACGATTCCCGTAATTTCTAAAGGTCACTCATTTTTCTATATTGGAAATTGAATAAATATATTTGCCTTTATGGATTAACAATATGAATGCTTCAATGAAAAATGAATTCTAACGTTCTTGATTATTTTCGTTATAGTTGAAAAAAAACTGTTGTACGTAAACAAAATTACGCTAATGAAATTGACTGATCTCAGTCACAAATTATACTTAAGACGTTCTTTCTTCCATGGGGGTAATAATTCCACGGAGCATCAATTTCTGTTTAATTTCGGGTCGAAAATCACTTGGGTTTACTAGATTGTCACTGTATGCCTTGCATTTATATTAAGTACGCTAGGACATATTTCCGCGGAAAATAAAATTTGTGAACGCGTACATAGCAGAAATTAATACCACGCGGAAAAAAGTACTCCTACAGTATTTAAAATAGTTCTAGTATATTAGCTTTTGCTAGAGCACATTGGACTAAATTTCAATTTTAATAGTACTATGCTTCAAGCTTTCACCATGGTCTTGTAAACAGACATGTATACATATTAAATGCATATTCAATTATGTACATGTACTCTTCTTCTGTTAAATGTAAACAATGAATATCAGAAACAGATTGTTTGATCAATCTGTTTCACACTGTATATCACGGAAGCCCATTTAGGACCTATCAAAAAATATTTTTGAATTTGTTATAAAGATTTTTAGAATTCGTTATAACGAATTTAATTTGTTATAACAGATTTTTAGAATTCGTTATAACAGATTTTTAAAATTCATTATAACAGATTTTTAAAATTCATTATAACGAATTTAATTTGTTATAACAGATTTATTGAATTCGTTATAATGAATTTAATTTGTTATAACAGATTCATTGAATTCGTTATAACGAATTTAATTTGTTATTACAGATTTATTGAATTCGTTATAACGAATTTAATCTGTTATTACAGATTTGTTGAATTCGTTATAACCAAATCAAGAATTTGATCACAACGAATTCAACAAATCTGTAATAACAGATTAAATTCGAATTCAATGAATCTGTTATAACAAATGAAATTCATAATAACGAATTCAATAAATCTGTTTTAACAAATTAAATTCGTTATAACGAATTCTAAAAATCTGTTATAACAAATTAAATTCGTTATAACGAATTCTAAAAATAGTTATAACGAATTCTAAAAAAAATTGAAAAATCATAAATTACATGTAAAACAAGTAGCTTTGAATTTTGCAAACTATGTTGCAATCACCATATTTAAATTCCATTAATCATGCTACTGCGACAAAGAGGTCAGTGATGCCAAATTGATAAATTTAAGACAGATTCCTTAATTTCAAAATTATTTGAGAAGAAAAATTAAAGATATATTTTCATCATGCAAAACTGTTCGTAATTTCCATATTTGATTTAAAATATTAAGCATTCAAGTGCCTATGAAGACAGGGGTCTTAATCAGTGATGAAAACGGTGGTAATGAGTGAATAAAGGGCACAAAAGAGAGGATTTTATACGTTTTGGTAAATGTCCCCGTTTAGATACAATAAAACAAGAACTGGTGTGTGAATATTAATGAGTGTGAAATAGGTCCCCGTTTGTGCTGTGAAATGTGCTTAGCTTAAAATTAAAGATATTGATATGTTCTCATTATATTTGTCATCAGGGTTACATGGTGATTGATATTTTAAGTCAAAAGTCACTGAAATATTAAAAAAGAAGAAGTCCCCACTTTGACAGTCTTTAACCCCTGTCCCCGTTTGACACCCTTCACACACACACACACACACACACACACACACACACACACACACACACACACACACAGACAGACAGAGAGAGAGAAAGAGAGTCATAAATCTGCTTCAGAGATTTTTTTAAAAAAATAATATTTTGATTTTGTATTATATTTCAAAGGAATTTAAAATGAAACATTATTCTGAATAGTATTTTAAATATAAAATATGCTGTTTACTCGTATATCGTGTAACCAAACAAAATTTTAAGATGCTTAAATATGCTTTAAAACCTACCTCGTTTTCTATTAATTTCTCCCTATTTGCGATCAGGACGTGTGTGAGGTTGTAAATATCGACATAAGTATCGCCATTCCTAATAAGTTGTATGAGATAATCCATGGCAACGAAGATACCTGATTTTCCAGTTCCATTCCTGAATTAAAATACCAGGGGTATATTCATTAATTAGATTACAATAAAGTTAACTTTCATAAATACATTCAGTGAGACAGAAATAGTATAATTTAGTTATTCAACTCAAAAGTAAAACAAAATGAGAACGTACAGACAGTGTATGACAAGTGGTCTGCTATCATTACCCTCCTCAGAATTGGAATGCACAAGATTAATGAGATTTAAAAGATCTGAACACTCATCTTTCGTGAAGTTGGAGAGAAATGAAGACTGAAAGTGATTTACTGTGTGGCTCTTGGACCCCTGAAGTGAAATTTAACTCTATGTAGTTACATATATTTACATCCACTGAATATTTTCTCCTTTATTTCTTAAGAAACCCCATTGCGTTCATCACTGCATAAACTACAGTAGGCATGTCGCCTGTACAGATTTCTTAATCAGTATTTGTTCCATCAATGAAACGTATAAAGACGTTCTCATC